AGCCCAGCTGCTGCCAGCCCAGCTGCTGCCAGAACAGCTGCTGCCAGAACAGCTGCTGCGGGACCGGCTGTGGCACTGGTGGCGGCCAGGAGGGTGGCTGCGGAGCCGTGAGCTGCCGCGTCAGGTGGTGCCGCCCTGACTGCCGCGTGGAGGACACCTGCCTGCCCCCCTGCTGTGTGGTGAGCTGCATACCCCCCACCTGCTGCCAGCTGCACCACGCCCAGGCCTCCTGCTGCCGCCCGTCCTACTGTGGACAGTCCTGCTGCCGCCCTGCCTGCTGCTGCTACTGCTGCCAGCCCAGCTGCTGCCAGCCCACCTGCTGTGAGCCCACCTCCTGCCAGTCCACCTGTTGAAAATCTCTTTCGAAAGGAATCCTAAGAAACTGGCACTTCACAATGAGGCAATGTAGAGTCCCGATGAACTTCTGAACTCCAATACTCATAACACAGCTTGCAAATGGCTACAAAATTTCCTAAGATGTAAATTAATTTATAATCGAAAACCAAAAATATTTCATAAACCTGGACACAAACAGAAGTCCTACAAGGTTAAGAGGAATGTATAAAACTTTTACTATAAATACCACCTGAAATAGTTCAACAGCTCATTGGATTTGGGATTTAATAAAATTTTTATTCTTCAATGACAAAGTCATTGTTGGAGCTTTCTTTTCTTTGGAATTTGTTATTGATACTGGGGTATTTGGATTTTTCAAAATCTCAGTAACTGTGGTATGGCACTATGGTGTTTTTTTATTTTTCCCTTTTTTAAAGGTCTTTAAAAAATGGTTTTCCTTTGTTTTACCATTAAATGGTCCAATATTCTACAGCCAAAATCTATGGTAAAAGAACATATCAGTATTAAGGAACTATTCTCCGAGGTCCTCACATGTGCAAATTGACAGGCTAGGTGTTCCAGAAGATCAATTTTACAAAAAGGAATTTTTATGTTATTTAGTTTCTTGAGATATTGCCAAATTTATTCACTTCCTTCATATACAATTCTGTGTACAAGTCTTTCAACTATCTGGGATATAAAAGGATAATACATAATTGGAAAGACAGGAAGCATAAGATTTCAAAGTACTAGCATAAGATATAAAGACATCTCAAGTTCTAATCCCCACTTTGTAACTAAGAACCCAAGCATTCTTATTTTTTTTAAGTTTATTTATTTATTTTGAGAGGGAGAGAGAGCGGGGGAGAGAGGAGAGAGAGAGAAAATCCCAAGCAGGCTCTATACTGTCAGTGCAGAACCCCATGTGGAGCTCAAACCCAGACACTATGAGAGCATGACATGAGCTGAAACCAAGAGTTGCAGGCTTAACCAACTGAGCCACTTAGGAGCCCCGGACCCATGGATTCTGGAGCAAGGCCCTTCACCCGCCTGGGCACCAGGTTAGAAAAACTGGAAAACAAAAGAATTGACATTCATTGCTTACAGCTTCTCTCCCAGGCACCAGGATGGATTATTTCCTAAACAGGTGATGCACTGACAATTAGTCTCTTCAGACGCCCAATGAGGAAAAATTATTCAATGGTCAAGTAATGTTGCATGCATTTGCACCATGTTGAAGGTTTATAAAACACATCAGAATATTAAAGAAAGCTCTATAACTATTACTCCCAAACTGATTTAGTTGGGGAATACTCCATTCATTACCAACTAGCATCCTGTAACACTAGTGTTCCTCAAAACATACTTTGGAAAATGATGAAAGGGAATTTCAACTGGTGCTTCTACAACATCTATACAATTCGTTCATGTACCGTGAACTAGAAAATAAATATTCATCACAAGAATGGATTTAAACGAGCATGATACTGGCATACACTGTGCCCATTCTTATTCTAATCTCCAGAGAAAGTTCTAGAATAAAGCAAGGATCAAATAAAAAATACATAATAAGAACTTCCATTTTGATGGATAAAATCTTTGATTATAAAATCAAAGTGGTAAATCACTGGCTGGAGAGAAAGGGGGAATGGGGAGTAATTACTAAAGATTATCAGGTGGTATTCTCGGTGATGAAAAAGGTTTTAAACTAGACAGAGGAATGGTAGCTGCATAACAAGGTGAATGCACTAAAGGCCACTCAACTGTACATTTTAAAATGGTTTAGTATATATTATGTGAATTTCACCTCGATTTAAAAAGTAAGTAAGTCAGGGGCACCTGGGTAGCTCAGTTGGCTCAGCATCCAACTTCGGCTCAGGTCATGATCTCATGGTTTGTGAGTTTGAGTCCCACGTTGGGCTCTCTGCTTCAGCATCCTCATGCCTGCTTCAGATCCTCTGTCTCCCTCTCTCTCTGCCCCTCCCCTCCTCAAATATAAATAAACACTTAAAAAAAAGAAAAAGAAGTAAGTCAAAGGGATGGGGTCTTCACTAGCACAACCTTACCAGAATTAGAAAAAGGCATCACCTTTAGGTAGAAACAGTTTGAAGAATACACAGCTTACTGAGCCTACATCATTTTCATATGAAAAAGATTCTCCTTCTTCTGAGTGGACAGAGCCTCCCCCATCAGGGCACAACCCACACATTCATACACAATGTGTCTAAAACATGTTTAATGCTCGATGTCCCTCAAATACCACTCTCTTGTCTTTCAATGGGTTAGGATGTACTTACTTTTACTTAGAATGGCTTTATCTCAAAGCACCAAAAGAGCCAGGTTGGCATTCAGAAGAGAAAAAGATCTTATTACTTGATTTAGAGTAAAAAGTTGGGGATGTTCAACTGGTTCCTATATCAACCATGTCTTATCACTCAGGAATCTATGGCAGATGCAACTGAACTAGAGAACTAGTAAAATGGAGCTTAAGGAATTGAAAGAACCCCCAAACTTACAATAAGAAACCTAGAACCATGGCACCTTAAAGAAAAATAACTCAATATATTAATATCTATAAACAGAAGGCAGACATTCAATAAGAGACAAACACATCCTTTCTTCTTATGATACTATTGGATCTGGACCCCATCGCTTAAATGAAGTAATGAAAACCAAAGAGAATAAGCCTTGTAATAAAATCATTTTAAATGTAAAGTTACTGGCATTCTTTTCTCCAAGAAGACAATAGATAGTGATTTCCAGCATTTAAACGGTCATAAAATCTACACAGGGAAATACCACAAATTGATTATAACTTCTTACTCTATTTGTATGAAAACCAATCAAGAAGAAATGGAGTAAATAATTTTATTTTCTTGATTTCTTTAGGAGAGATAAGGGAATGTTCAGATTAGTCTGTGGCAAAAGAGGAGAATTCTCAAATTTTAAGTGTCATACCTTATGTCATGGTTAATTTTATGTATCAACTTGACTGGGCTAAGGGATCCCCAAACAGCTAGTAAAACATTATTCCTGGGTGTGTCTGTGAGGGTGTTCATGGAAGGAATTAGCATATGAGTCTGTAGAATGAGTAAATTAGATTGCCTTCACCAATGTGGATGGACAATGTGGATCATCGAAATCATTGAGACCCCAAATAGAACAGAAAGGGAGAGGAAGGGCGAATTGTTCTATGGCTTAAGTTGGGACAGCCATCTTCTCCTGCCCTCATACTTCAGTGCTCCTGGTGAGGGCCTCCACATTTGTGTGAACCAATCCCTCACAATAAATCTCTTTCTATGGATATATATATATATATGTATACATATATATATATATCTCCTACTGGTTCTGTTTCTCTGGAGAACTCCGCCTAAAAACACTTATTATTAGTAATTCTCTGAGGGCAGCTAAAGACCAGAAAAATGAAAATCGAGTTAAATTTTGCACCAAGGGAGATGTTGAAAACAGTGCCACAGGGGCGCCTGGGTGGCGCAGTCGGTTAAGCGTCCGACTTCAGCCAGGTCACGATCTCGTGGTCCGTGAGTTCGAGCCCCGCGTCAGGCTCTGGGCTGATGGCTCAGAGCCTGGAGCCTGTTTCCGATTCTGTGTCTCCCTCTCTCTCTGCCCCTCCCCCGTTCATGCTCTGTCTCTCTCTGTCCCAAAAAATAAATAAACGTTGAAAAAAAAATTTTTTTAAATAAAAAAAAAAAAAGAAAACAGTGCCACAGCAGAAAAGCATAGAAATGGAGACCCAACAGATAACACTACCTATCCCTGGTGCCCTAGTCAGTAGGTATTTCAACTCCTCAAATATCTGAATTTTTTGCAAGGGGAGATAAATGCTTTTAGTATCAAAGATACTGAATTTAGATATGAATTAAATAGCTCCTGAGATTATAATGGGGACAAATCTACATACTCCAAACATCCACAGTGGGAAAATTAGCTAATCGAAGAATCCATGATGTAGACTTGCTTAAGGAGAGGAAGTAAAAAAATCACATACCTTTGAATTCAAATTTGATGTGGGATTTGTAAATGCCTTCATTCTGATTTGGGAAGAATTATGGTCTAAACTCAAAACTGTCATTCCTGAAGAAGCAGAAACTAACACCCGGTATTCTGGTTCAAACTATGTAAGTGGCATTTTAATATCCATTTGCCTGTAACAGAGTCCATACTCAATGAAGGCCAGGTCACCTTTCATTGTACCTGTACAAAACCTTCATCTTCAACCTCATCTGCTGCCTCATTCAAACTATATTATAGTTTGCTAATGTCTACAGTAAACTGCATGCTGATCTAATGTACTATGGTATGTCACATGTTCCAGTGTTAATATACTGAGTGTGATTTTTATGCAGTTAAGGACATTTAGATCTATAGGACATCCTAATATCAAAGATTGAATGAAGTCACAAGTCAAGGAGGTCAACCATTTTAGCACACAAAATTTTCTTGAAGCTTGTTATGTAGTCAAAAAAACTTTTTTTCAGAGAAGTTTCTAATAGTGTTATTATTCACCTTAAGCTCTGCATTTCTTCCCTTGACCTGAAAAACAGTTAAGAGTGGGCAAATTTTTACATCTTTCCTTTACCCTTTGAGTTTCTCTGGAACAATTGCTGACATGGAAAACAGGGTATTGACTGTAGTGGTTGAAGAGTTTAGTTTGGAGTCAGATGGCATAGGTTCAAATTTCAGATTCACCACTTGTTGGTGTGAACCTGAGCAACAGACATAAATCTGCTTGAGGCTCAATTTCCTGACATAGACGATGGGAGATGTATAGGCGGAGTCCATAGGATTGCAGTGAAAATTAAATGAAATGATACGTGCAAAGTAGTCAGAACCACTTGGGCACATACGTGCTCCAGAATCTGTGATCAGTAACAATTCATCCACATTTCTCAGCCCCCCCAAAAAGCATCCCTTTCTGGCCAACTGGATCACTTTGCTTCACAGTCAAATGGAAGATGAGAAAGATAAAGGGGCAACAGTTGACACTGGAGACATG